GTGCTTCTGGCCTCGGGAACGCGAGCCTGGTGTGTCATTCACGGGGGATCCTGGCTTTGAGAGCGCAAGCCTGGCGTAGTCTATGAGAGATTCTGGCCTCTTGAGCGCGAGCCTGGCACTGTGTAGAGGGGGTCCGGCCTCGGGAGCCTCGCGGGGACAGTATCAACTTACAGTGGGAAGCAGACAGTAGAACTAGAACGTTGGAGACTGGAAGCTGGAGCTGCAGCGGGGAATTCTGAGAATCCTGGGGGGGAGGGTAACGAGTTCCTTTTCGGCTCCCCCCCTGGCGCCCCCCTCGCGCGTTCAGCAACAATCTACAGTAAGAGGCTGGACTCGTAACTATAGCATTGGGTATTCGAAACTGGAAACCACACGGGAACTGTGACTGGGACCAAGGAGGTCAGGGCTGGTACCTACGTTGCTGAAGCCCGATCCTCGCAGTCTGGTTTCCCCGCAAGGGGACCAGCAGATGATTTGATCCCCACGCGTAGCCATGGCAAGAAGCCCAGAGCCATCGGTGGCAAGAGAGCTCCTGGTACTTCGTGACGCTCCATGCATCCACACTGCCCATCTCTTGGGGTTTCTAGACAGCTACTGGAAACGGAGCAACATTCGCGCAAAAACAGGGAAGGGTCATCCAAAGCCGCTCCCCCAAACGGGCAGCGTGGATCCCTGTGAGAGCCTACTGTAGACTTCTTCGGGTTCTCTTCGAGCTCTCTTGAAGTCCTTCGGGGAGCCTTTTGGTCCCTCTTTGGGGCCATCCTGGATGCCATCGACACAAGAGGGGGTCCTCGATGCCCCCTCCTTAGGAGTCAGACGCAATGCCTGGTGGCGCGCTTTTTGGACACTTGTGGTGCTCCTCGGGGACTCCGGGGCCATCTTGGGGCCATCTTGAGGCATCAGAGGCTCATTGGACGGCGAAAATGAGAGCAGGCAAACATCGACGAACACAGCGTATTTTTTTAGACGACTTTGGCGTCTTGATCCTTGGGAGTCTCGAGGACCGCCTCAAAAACCCATCGCTGTGCCTTCTTGGGGCCCCTTGGAGCCACGCTCGAGGCCATCTTGGCCGCGTTCGGGGGCTGTCTCGCGCCGCTTTTGCAGTCCACGCCGGGCTAGCTTCGAGTCACCTTGGGCCAGTCTGGGTGGTCCACCAGGGGATGGGGTCCGACCCCCGCCAAACCGCCAAACCTCAGGAGGGGAAAAAACACAGACACAATTAATCGTCGATCCCCAGGAAAATATGCGAAAATATGGGAAGCGGGGGGAAGATAGAAATCCAGAACATATGGGAAAATATGGGGAATATTTGTATTTGTGTGTATTTATTTGTGTGTTCTGGGGCCCCCTTAAAACCGCCAAACCGCCTCCGCCCGGAGGGTTGCTGCGTGGGGAGGGTTGCGAGATGCCGCGCGCCCGCGCGCGCGCGACCGCGTGGGCGAGAGCGCGGTCCTCATCTCCGCGGCGACGAGAAGGGCGAACAGCCCAGGGGCGGGCATTGCACGTACTCGCCGGGGCAGTCTCGCCGAAGGCATGGACCATCGGCGCCCCTGGAGGTACGGTAGGTTCACGCGGCGTTGGCGCGCTGGCGACGCCGGCGAAGGCGTTCAAGGTTTAATTCGGCGACGCGGAAGCTCCAACGGACACGGCAACCTCACTGGGTTCGACTGAGTTCAAACCTTGAACGATCGGGGCCGCGATCGATTCAACATTGAACAATCGTCGCGGTGTCAAAAACTTTTGTGCGCGCCGACGCCGCGCGAACCTACCGGATGCATTCCCCCCCTGGGATATTCGCCCCTCTCGTCGCCTCCGATCAACCGCCGCCCGCTGCGCAGAAGCCGGCCCTGCACGCGTGCCTCAGCACCGCCCGCGGCCGAGGCGCTGCGTCAACTGCCTCGGCGATGCGGACACCACCGCGGCCATCCGAGGGCACTGCGCCAGCGCCGCCGCCCCCTCCCCCTGTGGCGTGGAGCAGGGGGCCTGGCCTGCGAGTTTTTGAGCGGATGGAGGGGGGCGACGAGGAGGAGGAGAAGGAGGAGGAGAAGGAAAAGGAGGAGGAGGAGGAGGAGGAGGAGGAGAAGGCGGCGTATTCTCCGTGCCCTTGCAGGCCCGCTGTCCTTTTGTATGCCTCTTGCGCCTGCCTTGTTTTCTGCTACGCCTGCCAGACATAATTAGTTGGCCTCCATGCCGAAGTCGGCATTCGCTCTTCCTCACGGCCGCTAGAGCCACAACGCTCGAGTTCGCCCAGCGTAAAAAAAGAGGTAGTAGTAGTAGTAGTAGTAGTAGTAGTAGTAGTAGTAGTAGTAGTAGTAGTAGTAGTAGTAGTAGTAGCAGTCGTAGTAGTTGCAGTAGTAGTAGTAGTAGTAGCAGTAGTAGTAGTAGTAGTAGTAGTAGTCGTAGTAGTAGTGTTAGTGGAGTCGTCGGGCATGAAATCAACAAGGGTGGGAGAGGGGGACACTCCGTTTTCAGTAGCTACGCCTCGGGAGCCCGAGGAATCACTCTCATCCCGCAGCAAGCGGGCACTAAGCCTAAAAGGCTGATACGGGAACACATGCAATTACAAAGAGGGGTGGAGGGAAGAGGAGACACACCACAACGGGACCACTTTTCGTGGAATTGCTATGGGGAAAGAAACCTTATCCTCTCCTGCACTCCTCCCGACTTCCCTTGCCTGCGCGAAGTCCTCCCCGGCCTGAGGGTCGCCCATCAGGGCCTGCCGTGACGCGCGCCGGGAGCGGGACTTAAGATGAGAGTTGAGGGCCCTCTCTGAGAGGTGGCCTTCCTCGTCTACTAGAACCATCGTGCCTTTACTGAGGAGATCAAGGAGGGCGAGGTTCGACCTGCCGGGGTCGGCTTTTGTCAAGGGATCCGCCGCCATGCGGCCATGTGGAACCCAGCGGACCTGGGACCCCACCGCACTCATGCTATCACGCACTACTGCCAACTCGATGGCGTTCCTCCTGTCGGCGCGGCTGCCCGCGCTGTTCCTCGAAAGAGTGTCGAAAATAGATTTCGCGTCAACGACGGGAATCGCGTCAACCTGATCAGACAAAGTGCAATCTCTGCTGAGCACGACAGAAAAAGGAGCCTGCGACAGATGCCAGTCTGGACGCACCACGTCCTTAAAAATGAGATCGCGCCACATGATGGACAGCCATTGGGCCTCGGCGAGAGCCGCTGAAAGACTTAACGTCTCGGCCGCTCCCGTGGACGCAACAACACGCTTGAGACGAGTCGACCTCCAAGCAAGAAGGGACACACGCGCCCGACAGTTCTGCCGGATACTCGAATCGGCAGCTAACACCATCCATCCTCCCTGGGCCCCGTTACGCCTAGCGGACCCGGGACCTCCAGCATCTGACACCGTGACGAATGTCATGCTCGAGGGGTCAAGAGGCCAGATTACCACCTTCTGACTGGCGGTGCTCTTGAGATGCTTGACGGCCTCGATGCAAAGAACCGCATCCGACACGAGGGGAGAGGGGAGAGCAGCACTCTGGAGCGACGCACACGCGGCCACGTCGGGCCTGCTCTCTCTCCCTAACCATTGGATCTGGGCTACCATAGTACGATGCGCTTTGATCTCACTGGGCGTGAGGGGGTCATCAGGTACAGCTCGACGCTCCTTAGCAAGCGGCATAGCAGCTAGCTGTTCCAAAACGTATTTTTCTTGACCCATATAGATCCGATTGCCTGCTTGTCGCAGGTGTCGACCCGCAAAGTCGGATTCCCCGGATTTCCACTTGCCAAACCTGAAACGCGATTGCAGCCTGGTCTTGAGACCAGCCTTCTCCGAGGGATGAGCCGATACGATCAGATCGTCGACCTCGATCAAACACAGAGCGCGAGGCTCGCCCTGGGACGAGCGCTTGACCCAGAGGCAGGGCTCGAGGAGGCTTTTCTCGAATCCGTCCTCAGCCAACCACTGCGTGATCGTGCGATGCCACAGCAGGGGGGCATCGTTAAGGCCGTACACCGGCGAAATGAGTTCTGTAAGCTCGCCAGGGTTGAGCGAGAGACCTTGGCAAGGCTCACAATAGATCTGGCCGCGGGGGCGGGCCAGCTTGTTAGACTGACAAAACGCGTTCTTGGCATCCGCCACCTCCAACTCCCACCCGAGCGAGCACACAGCCTGGAGCGTCAACATGATACTCTCCGCCTGTGGCGTCGGAGAGTATACTTGAAGCTCGTCGCTGTCCGGGTCGTGGTGACCCTGCACGCACCATCTTGATTTAGCAATGGGCTCGGCCCCGAGCCCCTCCTGGGGCTTGAAACGTCGGACCATCCGGGACCCCAAAACTCGGTCCGGGAAGCGGCGACGGATCAGCGAGGCCTCCTGGGCCGGGACGATTCGGACGGCCCCGGACTCTATAATGGCTCGCCACTCCTTCGCATCCGAAAAAACGAATAGCTCCCGCTCAGCACGCGAGAGGCTCTTGAGGGAAACTTCGGCCCCTCGCCGGCTCGGTGGAGCTTCCCCGCTCGAAACTCCGGCCGTTGAGGGAAAACAGTCGCTCCCCCCCTGGGACCAAAAGGACGGTTCCCAGCCAAACCAACTGCAGACTTCCTCCCACAGCTCCTCTTGACCGTCTTCGTCGCAGCCAGACTCAACTTCCCCGTCCAGTCCAGTCTCCCAAGAACTCAGAAAACGATCCCGGGAACGTGCTCCAAACCGGCCAGGCGCACAGCTTGCTCAGCCGTGCCGGTGACAGGCTCACCTCCGTGCCCCAGCACAGGAGCCTCCCTGGACTCAGGGGTGCGAGACCGAGCTCGCGGTGCAGAAGCAGATGACGCGGCCGCTGCGCCGTCATCACCTGAGCGTGTCAAACGGATGCTCGCTGGAACATCGTCGAGCATGCGAAGCTGCCGGGGAGTCCGGCCGCTGGGATCTTTGGCCTCCCGCTCGCGGATCATGGTCCGCACTCGGCCCCCAGCCGGCTGCAGATCCTCGACTGGGGTGAGCACAGGCCTCGCCAGCGCAGGGGGAGAGGGCTCCTCCAGGCGAGGGCGTTGAAGAGGGGGAGGTCCTAACTCGGGATCGGCGCCCGGATCCTCAGGGCTCTCGACTCCACGCCTTGGTCGAATTTGGCTAGACGCGGGGTCCGAAACCTGCCTGGAGGGAGAAGAAGAGCGAGGAGAGGGAACCTGAAGGTCGGAGGTGTGAGGGTCAGAGACGGTGATGGGGCCCTCGGTCGACGCCTGATCGACTGGAACTGGTGGCTGCTCCGATCCTGGCGCCTCCGGCGCGGGACCTGGTCCTGGACCCTCGGGAGGGGGAGGAGCCTGGGGCCCCGGGATCCGCGCAGCTGACGCCTCGCCCGAGCCTTCCGGGGGGCCCGCAAGATCCCACGCCTCGGGGGGAGGGGGCCCCTCAGCTTCCACGTCGACGGCCCCCGCACGTTTCCCGGGATTCTGGAGATCCCGACGAAGAGCATCGAAGGATGGAACGTCCAACAACTCGGCCCCCCAGGCTTCTTCCTTCGTGGCCCAGCGCACCTGTTCCTGCCCGCACTTTAAAAGTCGAGACCGCATCGCGACCCAAATGGTCGTGCCCTGCTGAAAAACAACAGCGCCCGGTCCAGTCCACCGGCTCCGGCCCAGATCGGCCGACCGGTCCTTGGCTGAAACTCGGCGCCACACGTACACCCAGCTGCCAGGGGGATAGGTGGCATCGATGTGTCGACGAGACTTCGAAGCGGCGACGAGACGATCACGAACATCCAGGGACATGATGGCCTTCTTCGCTTCCTCCCGAAGAGCGTGCTTGCGAGCGAAAGCCCCTGCTGGTGTGTCGGTGTCCACGGCCCCCCGGACCACATCACCCACACCGACCTCGTCGCAAGCGTCGTCTGAGAGCAAACTGCGCGGGAGGCGGGGATTTTCGCCAAACACTAACTGAAAGGGGGAAAACCCCCCCCTGTGAGCGTATCGGTTCTTAGCCCCCACAATCTCACACAAGAGGTCCTCCACCTCCTCCAGGGCCCCCGGGGACGCGCCCAGAGCAGCCCTCGTGAGCGCGGCCTTGACCAGACCGCCGTGCCTCTCGCACCGCCCGTTCTGGTGCGGACTCTCCGCGTCGCACACGTGCTGGTAGACTCCGTGATGCTCGAGGCTACGGCTGAATTGGCTCTCGAATTCTGGCCCGCCGTCTGTCATGACAGTCTCCGGAAGCCCGAATGGGCGCACCCAAGCGCGCAAGAATCCTGACCAGACCTCGGAGGCAGTAGCTGCCTTCAAGACCGTGCACGACTGAAGGTTGCTGCCGTGATCTATGATGTTGAGGATCGGCCGCGTGGCGCCTAGAGCATTTATATAGAACAAGTCAGCCGCGACCAATTTATTGAACCTGCACGTCCGGGGGAGGGTTGCCTTGCGCCTCCAACCCGGGCGCGAAGTCCCCTTACACGTCGGGCACTCGAAGTGACGGGAGACCCAGCGGATCACCTCTGGCTTGGCTTTCGCAACCTTGAGCGCCCGCACGAACTGTTCCCGTCGAGGGTGTCCTAGATTCATGTGGGCCTTCAAAATCTCGCTCTGCATTTCCTTCGAAACTTCCTCAGACGGGGAAAAAAAAAGAAAAAACAAAAAAAAAATAAAGAAAAAAAAAAAAAAAAAGAAAAAAAAAAAAAAAAAACAAAAAAATAAAAAGAACACAAAAAAAAAAAAAAGGGGGGCTCACGACTGGGCCCCTCACAGGCCGGGTCTCTTCTTCTCTCTTGCTCTTTCCCCGTCACTGTCCCCGACGACATTCCGCCTGGATCGGGTCCCTTGCTGCCCGCGTCAACGGCAGCGGCTGCTGGAAAAAGAGGCCCTGACCAGCCTTTTCGAGCGCAAAACAAGCCGCACATCAGCGGCCTGCTCGAACTCCGTCAGCGAGGGGCAAGCCACTCAGCAATTTCGCGGTAGTTCTGAGGGGAGCCCGCCGCCGTCCTGGCCGGGGGGGGGCCGCCCCGGCCCACGCACAGTTTGAGAATGCACGTGCCCCCC